CCCAACAGAATGCCCCCTTACATATGATCAGGTGTCCCCATCTAAGTGTCCACTTGCATATAAACAGTTAACCCAATCAGAGTGCCCCCTTATATTAGGTGTCCCCATCTAAGTGTCCACTTATATATGAACAGCTAACCCCAACAGAGTGCACCCTTATATCAGGTGTCCCCATTAGAGTGCCCCCTTACATCAGGATCCCCAGCAGAGTGTTCCCTTACATCAGGTGCCACCTTCAGAGTCGCCCCTTACATCAACTGTCCCCAACAGAATGCCCCCTTACATATGATCAGTTATCCCATCAGAGTGCCCCCTTAAATTAGGTGTCCCCATCAAAGTGTCCACTTGCATATGAACAGTTATCCCAATCAGAGTGCCCCCTTACATCAGGTGTCCCCATCAAAGTGTCCACTTACATATGAACAGTTATCCCCATCAGAGTGCCCCCTTATATCGGGTGTCCCCATCAAAGTCTCCACTTACATATGAACAGTTATCTCAATCAGAGTGCCCCCTTACATCAGGTGTCCCCATCAAAGTCTCCACTTACATATGAACAGTTATCCCAATCAGAGTGCCCCCTTACATGAGGTGTCCCAATCAGAGTGCTCCCTTACATCAGGTGTCCCAATCAGAGTGCCCCCTTACATGGGATTGTCCCCATCAGAGTGCCTCCTTATATCAACTGTTTGCATCACACTGGCTATACCTGAAGTCTGTGTTTCCCTGTGTCGGTCCACACACCTCTGGTCATACCTGGAGCCCTGACAGGATCCTTCCTAAAATTCCAGACAGAGATCATCACAGCCCTTTTGTATCCAGAAGGTGCTGTGGCCCAAACCCCCAAAACAGATGCAGTTAGCAGGCTGCAAGAGAGGCATTTCCTGATGACATTCCTGGTACCCCAACCCAAAGGACACCCCAAAAAAGATGTGTATATAGCAGACATGAAATTAGGCATGACACCCGCTTTTTTTTGTCCCTCCTGTCCTGGCCAACCTGGTCTATGCCTCAAGGACTGCTTCCGTCACTATCACACACTAGTGGAGAATTAGTATAGAATACAACACGGCACAGTTCAGGGCACATATTTGCACAGAGTCTCGAAAGATGTTAGGTAGTCAGGAAACTGGCTATCGCATTTTGAGAGACACTACAGTCTTGTTAAATTCAAGTTAAAAAAAGAAAAAGCTTAAAAAAATAAAAAGCGCGAGTACAAAAAAGAATTAAAAAATGTAAAATAGTTGTAGCTTTTGTTGTTGTTGTCATTGTTGTTACTGTTCTACTGTTACAATGTTACTATTTTATTGTTACTGTTTTATTGCTAGCTATTGCTGTTTTCTTTGCAGAAATGCCATTTAGCTGCAGCACCAACAGGGTCTTGCTCTCAGAATATACAGACGTGGGTGTGTGCTGTGCTGTTGGACGAGATTTTTCATCCGTAGTTAAATAAAAGTATATATCCCATGCTTCGGCATATATATTTTATAATATTTTTGGACACATAATTCAAGAAAAAAGTTATTTTATTGAGTTACTGTTTTATTGCTAACCATTGCTGTTTTCTTTGCAGGAATGCCATTCAGCTACAGCACCAACTTGTTTATTCTGACAGCAACAGGGAATTGCTCTCAGAATATACATAACTAGTTGTGTGCAGTGCCTTTCATATGAAATTTTTCATCTGCAGTTAAAAAAAGAGCATATATGCCAAAGCATAGGGCCTGGGGTGGCCAGTGGGTGGATGGCCCCTATGCTTTAGTATATATTTAAAAAAAAAAATTTTGGCAGAAATGTCTTCATCCACATTGACCGATGTGAATAGAGGAATCTGTTAGGATCTTTTTTTTTCGTTCAGCACTTGGCTGAATGACAAAAAAATACATTTCATGTTTACCCACCATTAGAAGTGGGTGGATGCAGGGCGGTATATTCTATATTCTGGTGAGCATACCACACACTTTTTCTGGCAGATATTTCTTCTCTTTTTTTCATTCAGCCCACAGAATGCATAAAAAAAAAGAACATAGCATATATACCCAACAAGGACCAGTGATGTACACCAGTATATACACATCACTAGACTTTGAGTGGTTATACCAGGATGATGCCTGGATTTCAGGCTCCTGTATGTGGCTAGCCTTCCAAAAAGTCTCACACATGTGGTATCCCCATACTCGGTAGAAGTAGCAGAATGTATTTTGGGGTGTAATTCCACATTAAACCTATGGCTTGTGTGAGCCATATATTATTTAATTGACAAATGGTGTAAATTGCAGTATCTATATCAGCGGTCACTAAATGGCGGACCGTGGTCCGTGAATAGCCACAGCAGCGCTGCCACCTGGACCAGCAGCATGCAATGACAGATCCGCCGCTGAGCAGGGTGGTCGTCATGACAACATGACATCACGTGTGCCCCTTTCAGCTCACTGTCTTTCCGGCTCCTGATCCCTGCTTGTACACAAGCATCCAGCAAGGATCCCGGAAAGCTCCTGTCTGCCCTCAAGGTAGGATGTACTCTTACAGGGGCACTCTGATGGGCACATTGCATGTTAAGGGGCACTCTGATGGGCACAACATAGAATGTGCCCATCAGAGTGCCCCTTAACATAACAGGTGCCCATCAGAGTGCGCCCTAATATAAATGTGTCCATCAGAGTACCCCTTAATATAAATGTGCCCATCAGAGTGCCCCTTAACATAAAATGTGCCCATGAGCATGCCTCTTATTTTATGTTAAGGGGCACTCTGATTTGTACATTTTATGTTAAGGGGCACTCTGACGGGCACATTTAATGTTAAGGAGCACTCTGATGGGCAAAATATAGAATGTGCCCATCAGAGTGCCCCTTAATATAAAATGTATCCATCAGAGTGCCCCTTAATATAAATGTGCCCATTAGAATGGCCCTTAACATAAAATGTGCCCATTAGTATGCCCCTTATTTTATGTTAAGGGGCACTCTGACGGGCACATTTTATGTTAAGGGGCACTCTGTCGGGCCCATTTTACATTCAGGGGGCAAAAATGGGCACATACTGTGGAAAGGGGCACCCTGATGGGAACATGGGATGGAATGGGGCACTCTGATGGTGAATATGATGTAAAGGGGCACTCTGCTTGGGACATATGATAGAAAGGGGTACTTTGAGTGTAAGGGGGTATTCTGACGGGAATACCTGATGTAAGGTGGAAATGTGATGGGGATACCTAATACTTGATACCTTGAATTTTAATTCAATACCCCTGATCTATACCATAGTTTGTAGACGCTATAACTTTTACACAAAGCAATCAATATACACTTATTGGGGTTTTTTTTACCAAAAACATGGAGCAGAATACATTTTGGCCTAAATTTATGACTAACTTTGAGCTTACTATATATTTTTTATAGCCAAAAGTAAAAAAATATTGTTGTGTTTTTTTTTAAAGTTTCAGTATTTTTTTGTTTATAGCACGAAAAAAAAAAAAAGCGCTCAGGTGATCAAATACCACCGAAAGAAAGCTCTATTTGTGTGAAAGAAAGGACATAAATTTTGTTTGGGTGCAGCGTTGCATGACCGCGCAATTATCAGTTGAAATAGTGCAGCCCCGAATAACATAAAAAGGCCTGATCATTAAGGGGGGTAAATCCTCAGGAGGGCAAGTGGCTAGTGTTGAATGGACCTACTGTGGGAAGTATTCTGTTATTCTCATATAGTGATGCTGGTAATACATACAAATGGAATATAAATCAAAGAATTATCAATATTGTATAATGTTTATGAAGAATTTCAGTGTAACAGGCACAGCAGCCACTTCTAATGCATCAATAGCCAGAGTCATCTTATGGTGACCATTGTTGATCTGAAACATGCCAACATAGGTTTGCAGCCCATCCACGTCATAACAAACCATTTATATATCATATGTTGTATATGGGTCACATTTTCTTCTTTTCCACTTGTTTCCCTTTGACAATATTCAGTTTATTCTTTGTAGTCACATAGTGCGGTTAAGGCCTTGATCACGCAGGCTTCAGCTTTTAAAAGAACATTGTGTGCAGCAAGTTATGGAAAGCTTTACACTTATCTTACAGTGTCTAAACAAGTGAAATACAATAATAATCAAGTCCCACAAAATGTTGATTCAAATCCAAAGAAAATGTCCCGTATATCACCACAATATAAGTCCTGTGTTCTCCTTCACCAAAAATCTTCAAATATACCAATTCTTTTACCACCCTTAACCCTCCAGTGGAAAGGAGGCTTACCAAAGTTTAATGACCCCCCTTTAAAAAGTGAGTCACACAACTTTTTTTCATTTAGTCTCAGCTTGCTCCAAACTCTATGGGAATCTTTTTTTCAAGGTACAGAAGTTCAGGGAAGTAGACCTAAGTGCAGGTAAAATTAGTTATTGAAGTTTTGTAAAGCATTTGTGGAGCTTTGGAAAGCTTGGAACAGTTGGTTGAAGCCTTTAAAGCACCATTCTGCTCTAGTTTGGGAAAATTGAACACAAGGAGGGGTGCAAAGAGGGTGAATTTTTGGGTGAAGTAGATTTGCGCTCAGAGAGGGGAATTGAGGGCATTGGAGGTTGGATTGAGGGGAAAATAATTTGTGCTGGGAGGGGGCTTTACACTGGGAGGAGGGGAAATTTTTGCATTGTTGTTTGGGGAGAATGTTGGCTTGCAGACAGAATTTATGCTTGGGGCACCGTGCTGCTTAGTGCTTTTTTTTCAAGGGGGAGCTATTTATGCTGAAACATGATGCTCACATATAGGGGGGCTTAGCTTGTCATCTTTGCCCTGGGATCTAGATGACCTTGTCCTGGCACTGCCCACACCACACACATAGGGCAGTCAATAGATCTCCTCCTCCCCACACAGCACTTAGCTGAGACTTGATTCCCTTACAGACACAGGCTCAATCTGATGTGTATAGCTGGGTGCTATGTTGCAGTTCTGACCCTGTCCTCTTTTCCTGTGACCCCTGTCCTCTACTCTGCTGACCCTCTGTACCCTGCCCTGCTGACCCCTATCCTCCATCCTGCTGACCACTGTCCTCTGCCCTGCTGACCCCCTTTCTTCTGCCCTACTGCCCTGTCTTTGACCTGATAACCCATGTTCTCCACTTTGCTGACCCTGTCATCTCCTCTGTTGACCCCTGTCCTTTGCCCTGCTGACCCCTATCTTCTGCCCTATTGAACCCCTCTATACTGCCCTACTAACTCTTGTACACTCCTCTGTTGACCTCCCATCCTCTGCCTTGCTGACCCCTATCCTGTGCCCACTGAACCCCTATATACTGTCCCACTGACTCTTGTACACTCCCCTGCTGATATCCCATCCTCTGCCCTGCTGACCCCTATTTTGTGTCCTACTGACCACCTGTACACTGCCCTACTGACTCTTGTACACTCCCCTGCTGACCTCTCATTCTCTGTCCTGCTGACCCCTTGTACACTGCCCTGATATCTCCTGTACACTGCCTTGATAACCTGCTGTAAACTGCCCTACAAACTAATGGCCTCTGTACTCTGCCCTAAAAACTGCTGACCCTATCTCTCTGCCCTGCTGGCCCCCCCTTTACACTGCTCTACTGACTTCTATACACCGCCCTGTTGACCTTGCATCCTTTGCCCCCCCCAACATTGTTTACTGCACCCCCATATCAGCTAGATCCGGCGCTGAGTGAGACAGACTGTTCCCATCTCACTGCCAAAAACAGCACTGTAAACTGTATATACTGTACACAGCACTCCCAACTCTGCATCTCTTTGTGAAGGTAGTAATATGGTCCAAACAAACTATATAAACTTCACTAAAAGTTGAAGATTAGATTTAAAGTTGAAAATATGAACATTTAGATGATGCAGCCCAGTTACCTGTCACTCTCCTAAAGTTCTGGTGGTATAATGGTACCATTACCCCTATGCTGTCACTGCAAGGCTGTAGGTCATAAAAGGCTCTTCAGTTTCCATGCATAGCAGTTATGATATGTACCTGCACTCTCTCTCAGTCCTTAGAGTATCCTGTATATAGACACCGAAGGGAAATAGTAGCCCATCATATGTTATGTGTCATCTAACGCCATACAAGACCACACATTGCATAGCCATTCTGGACATGGGTTTGAATGATGACACTTTTGGCTTTGTTAGCACTATTTTGTTTTCTCCAATCATAACTCTGTATACATTTACTAGAAACTCAAACATGTCTTATCTGTCCATAGACTATTGTTCTAGTAATGTTGGGGGATACTCTGTGATAAACATGAAACACACAGCAATTCGTTTTTTTTTCCGACTGGTTATTTCTTCGTATGTAACCTCTCATGAACTTGTGTATTTGTGAACTTCTGTTTTTTCCATAGCAGCCTCTTGAACATTAGTTTCAAGCTTTAGAAATGCCATCAGTCCTTAGTTGTCACTTTAAGGTTCCTTGTCATAGGTCTGGGGACAATACAGTACATGTCCTTGGCTCATCGTTGTAATATTTTACTCACTCCTGAGGAAAGTATTAACTGCTGTTTTTTTTTTTTTTTTCCAAACCCTGTTATAGTTAAAATAGATCTATAGTCACAGCATACGCTTTCAATTTATAAGATATTGCAGCGTTGGATCCAACCCCCCCCCCTCCCCGGAACTTTCTGGGCAAAAGCACAATAGAGTGTGTTATCTAAAAGTTGTCATTCTTTATTACATATATGTCAAACAAACATAATAAAATAGACCAATAGGTCAATAAAATCTTTGATAATTACATATAATGCAATATGCAGCTGTCAGGGACCATCGCGACGCATGGGTCTACACATGCGTAGGTGTCTGTCAAGACATGCAGGCAGCAGGGCACTAGGACCCAGGCGCACCCGTCGTCTATGACAGTACTGGGCAGGCACTAGGACCTTGGCTGCCCCTGTCAGGTGCAGGGCGGGCTACTTAAACCAGCCCTGAACAGACACTTGTTGCCGAATGGTCTTTGCGTATCCTGTTGCCTGTGTTGTGAGTACTCTGATCTGGATTGTCTGACCTTGTTGCCTTCTCCTGTCCTGACCCCTTGGCTTGCCTGACTCTGCTCCTGGATGCTCCCTTATAGATCTGATCTTCTGGTATTGACCCTGCATGTGACCCGACTATCCTTTGCCTATCGTCTTGTACCGCACCGACCCGCCAGTTACTGACACGGCCTGTTTGATCTTGCTCATCCATCCATCCATCCATCCCTCAGGGATCCCCGGGCTCCCTCACATCAGACTCTTAACCCACAGGAGCCTCTGGCAGACTCCTCTACCTCTGGTAGAGATACCCGGTAGCTGCGACCTGGTCCCGGAGCGCTCCAAGTCCATCCCCACCATCAGGGGCCCTGGTGAACAAGTGCTCCGGTACTCAGGGGACTGACAGAGGTGCTGTCAGGTAGTCCATTACAGCAGCTTGTCTGACAATGCATAATAACCATACCCAAGTACATATAAATATACACCATACAAAGTCTGCCAATCATTAATCATAGCTTGGTCAGTAAGGATGTATTCTTCAATAGATCGCAAATCCCAACATGTTTCAGAGAGTAACTCCTTCTTCAGGGTGAAGGAATGGGTACATCAACTATGGTCAGTGCAGGTAATGTTACACATGAAGATAACCAAAAGTAGATCTTGTAAGGCTGAAATCTACCAGCATCCACAGGAAATCACAAAACCGTGACCCCAAAAAGTCCATCAAACCACCACAAGGATCCCTGGGAGACCCCACAGAGTGCATTCAAAAGACGGTTTCAGCTGGAGTATGGTATATTCACTCAATCGTAGGTCCTGCATTATACGTAAAGATCAGATTTTAATGACCTATTGGTCTATTTTTATTATGTTTGTTCAACGTATATGTAATAAAGAATTACAACTTTTAGATGACACACTCTATTGTGCTTCTACCTTAAAGTTCCCAGGGAGGGTTTGAATCCAGTGTTGCAATTGCTATATTTGGGATATTGGCAGGATGCTATATGGTAGATATCACTCAGCACAGTTAATTATTTTCAATTTATAAGAGAAATATTCCAATAACAATATAAAAAATAGTTATTTTGGACAATCCAATATAAGTTTACGTGAAAAATCTCTTTTCAGGTTGTGAGTGCTGTATGTATAGAGGCCAAGATTCCTTGTTCTGTCCCACCTATATGTATTTTTCTCTGTTTTAATAAACTGCATCAGGTTATTATTATTCATCTGTAGTATGCTGACATCTAGTGGCAGTTTAAATCAAGAAAAGCTTGTTTGCTTATGTAATTTGGTGTCCTCCCTTCCTTTTTAGTGCTAAGTAGTTCAGTCCTAGCTAGTACTCTGTGCTGCAATCATCTGAAGAATAATTAAGTTGGATTCAACAAACAGAACAGTCCCTGCATGCTTTGCAACTTCTCCTCTGTTGTTTAATTTAAAAGAACTACTTATCCCATGGTATCGTGATGCCTGCAAGCAATGATTCCTGTACTGACTCCACCTCCTGAAACTCCTCCTCTCAGCACCTCTGTAGTTCAGAGGGCAGGCTCAAAAGGACATAGTGTCACAGAACTCAAAGCAGTAAATGTGTGGGGATCTTCACAAAGCAAGTTTAACTTCAGGATTGTTCAGATTAATAGGAGTAGGCTAGAGAGTGATTGAAATGTGGAAAAGAATAAATTATTTTAAAATTTGAACCATAGATATGCTTTACATTCTAACGTCATCATTGTATTCCCCATGCAACTTTACAGTAAGGTAGGCAATATCAGTCTCTTTGAGCAATTGGTATACCAATGGGTAATCATCTTGGACAAACGTTTATGCAACATTGCTGTTTTGCATTATTGCTACAGATAACTCATTTTGTTTTCACCTCTTTCTGAAGAAAAGTATGCTTATATATGTTGGCTGAAATTAAAGATTATTTAAATTTAATAAGATTGTATTTCTTGCACCTGTTTCCCCCTGATCTCTCTCTCTCTCTCTCTCTCTCTCTCTCTCTCTCTATATATCTCTCTCTCTCTATATATATATATATTGCCAAAAGTATTGAGACACCTCTCCAAATTATTGGATTCAGGTGTTCCAATCACCTCCATGGCCCAGGGGCAGACTGACAACTCATGGGGCCCCCGGGCAATAGGGGATCATGGGGCCCCTGTGTCCTTGCCCAAATTCAAAAAAGCCTATGAAAAAGGTACCAGGGGCATCTCATGGGGCCCCCTACTGACCCCAGGCCCTCGGGCAGTGCCCGAGTTTCCAAATGGTCAGTCCGCCCCTGCCATGGCCACAGGTGTGTATAAAATTAAGCCCCTAGGCATGCAAACTGCTTCTACAAACATTTGTGAAAGAATGGGTTGCACTCAGGAGCTCAGTGAATTCAAGCGTGGTACCGTGATAGGTTGCCACCTGTGCAATAAGTCCATCCATAAAATTTCCTTGCTGCTAAATATTCTACACTCAACTGTTAGTGATATTATAACAAAGTGGAAGCAACTGGGAACAATAGCAACTCAGCCACCAAGTGGTAGGCCACGTAAAATGACAAAGCCGGGTCAACACATGCTGAAGCGCACAGTGTGCAGAAGTCGCCAACTGTCTGCATATTCACTAGCTAAAGACCCCCAAACTTCCTCTGGCCTTCAGATTAGCACAAAAGTGTGCAGAGAGCTTCATGGAATGGGTATCCATGGCCGAGCAGCTGCATCCAAGCCTTACATCACCAACTGCAATGCAAAGCGTCAGATACAGTGGTGTAAAGCGCGCCGCCAGTAGATTCTAGAGCAGTGGAGACATGTTCTATGGAGTGACGAATCACGCTTCTCTGTCTGGCAATCTGATGGACGTGTTTGGGTTTGATGGTTTTCAGAACGACACTTGTCTGATTGCATTGTGCCAAGTGTATAGTTTGATGGAGGGGGGATTATGGTGTGGGGTTGTTCTTCAGCGGTTGAACTTGGCCCCTTAGTTCCATTGAAGGGAACTCTTTAGGCGTCAGCATACCAAGACTTTTTGGACAATTTCATGCTCCCAACTTTGTGGGAACAGTTTGGGGATGGTCCCTTCCTGTGATTACATGACTGGGCACCAGTGCACAAAGTCCAGATTACTACACTTATTCCAGAAGTTGGAAGTCCCCTCTCAACCTCTGGACCCTCCTGAAAAATTGGCAGGGCTGGGCCAGGTAAAGGAAAGCTGGCTGTACCCCCTTGTTGATGGTCCTGTTAAAGGTACTATGAAAGCTGCTGTCAGGGATCCAGGTATGACCAGAGATGTGTGGACTGACACAGGGAAACACAGGCTTCAAGTATGGTGTAAAAGTAATATAATTTATTTAAGGTTATACAATACACAGAAACACACAGTGCAAAACCAAACCAAACCTTGAACTAGTCTCAATATGTGCGGGAACACAAGCATAGTCA